AAAATATATATATATTTTAATTGAGGGGGAGTGGATAAGTTCAAACTAAAAGAGAAGGGAAAAAGATCTAATGTTGTAGAAAATATAAATTTTATATATAAATATATATTTTTAAAAATATATATATATTTTAATTGAGGGGGAGTGGATAAGTTCAAACTAAAAGAGAAGGGAAAAAGATCTAATGTTGTAGAAAATATAAATTTTATATATAAATATATATTTTTAAAAATATATATATATTTTAATTGAGGGGGAGTGGATAAGTTCAAACTAAAAGAGAAGGGAAAAAGATCTAATGTTGTAGAAAATATAAATTTTATATATAAATATATATTTTTAAAAATATATATATATTTTAATTGAGGGGGAGTGGATAAGTTCAAACTAAAAGAGAAGGGAAAAAGATCTAATGTTGTAGAAAATATAAATTTTATATATAAATATATATTTTTAAAAATATATATATATTTTAATTGAGGGGGAGTGGATAAGTTCAAACTAAAAGAGAAGGGAAAAAGATCTAATGTTGTAGAAAATATAAATTTTATATATAAATATATATTTTTAAAAATATATATATATTTTAATTGAGGGGGAGTGGATAAGTTCAAACTAAAAGAGAAGGGAAAAAGATCTAATGTTGTAGAAAATATAAATTTTATATATAAATATATATTTTTAAAAATATATATATATTTTAATTGAGGGGGAGTGGATAAGTTCAAACTAAAAGAGAAGGGAAAAAGATCTAATGTTGTAGAAAATATAAATTTTATATATAAATATATATTTTTAAAAATATATATATATTTTAATTGAGGGGGAGTGGATAAGTTCAAACTAAAAGAGAAGGGAAAAAGATCTAATGTTGTAGAAAATATAAATTTTATATATAAATATATATTTTTAAAAATATATATATATTTTAATTGAGGGGGAGTGGATAAGTTCAAACTAAAAGAGAAGGGAAAAAGATCTAATGTTGTAGAAAATATAAATTTTATATATAAATATATATTTTTAAAAATATATATATATTTTAATTGAGGGGGAGTGGATAAGTTCAAACTAAAAGAGAAGGGAAAAAGATCTAATGTTGTAGAAAATATAAATTTTATATATAAATATATATTTTTAAAAATATATATATATTTTAATTGAGGGGGAGTGGATAAGTTCAAACTAAAAGAGAAGGGAAAAAGATCTAATGTTGTAGAAAATATAAATTTTATATATAAATATATATTTTTAAAAATATATATATATTTTAATTGAGGGGGAGTGGATAAGTTCAAACTAAAAGAGAAGGGAAAAAGATCTAATGTTGTAGAAAATATAAATTTTATATATAAATATATATTTTTAAAAATATATATATATTTTAATTGAGGGGGAGTGGATAAGTTCAAACTAAAAGAGAAGGGAAAAAGATCTAATGTTGTAGAAAATATAAATTTTATATATAAATATATATTTTTAAAAATATATATATATTTTAATTGAGGGGGAGTGGATAAGTTCAAACTAAAAGAGAAGGGAAAAAGATCTAATGTTGTAGAAAATATAAATTTTATATATAAATATATATTTTTAAAAATATATATATATTTTAATTGAGGGGGAGTGGATAAGTTCAAACTAAAAGAGAAGGGAAAAAGATCTAATGTTGTAGAAAATATAAATTTTATATATAAATATATATTTTTAAAAATATATATATATTTTAATTGAGGGGGAGTGGATAAGTTCAAACTAAAAGAGAAGGGAAAAAGATCTAATGTTGTAGAAAATATAAATTTTATATATAAATATATATTTTTAAAAATATATATATATTTTAATTGAGGGGGAGTGGATAAGTTCAAACTAAAAGAGAAGGGAAAAAGATCTAATGTTGTAGAAAATATAAATTTTATATATAAATATATATTTTTAAAAATATATATATATTTTAATTGAGGGGGAGTGGATAAGTTCAAACTAAAAGAGAAGGGAAAAAGATCTAATGTTGTAGAAAATATAAATTTTATATATAAATATATATTTTTAAAAATATATATATATTTTAATTGAGGGGGAGTGGATAAGTTCAAACTAAAAGAGAAGGGAAAAAGATCTAATGTTGTAGAAAATATAAATTTTATATATAAATATATATTTTTAAAAATATATATATATTTTAATTGAGGGGGAGTGGATAAGTTCAAACTAAAAGAGAAGGGAAAAAGATCTAATGTTGTAGAAAATATAAATTTTATATATAAATATATATTTTTAAAAATATATATATATTTTAATTGAGGGGGAGTGGATAAGTTCAAACTAAAAGAGAAGGGAAAAAGATCTAATGTTGTAGAAAATATAAATTTTATATATAAATATATATTTTTAAAAATATATATATATTTTAATTGAGGGGGAGTGGATAAGTTCAAACTAAAAGAGAAGGGAAAAAGATCTAATGTTGTAGAAAATATAAATTTTATATATAAATATATATTTTTAAAAATATATATATATTTTAATTGAGGGGGAGTGGATAAGTTCAAACTAAAAGAGAAGGGAAAAAGATCTAATGTTGTAGAAAATATAAATTTTATATATAAATATATATTTTTAAAAATATATATATATTTTAATTGAGGGGGAGTGGATAAGTTCAAACTAAAAGAGAAGGGAAAAAGATCTAATGTTGTAGAAAATATAAATTTTATATATAAATATATATTTTTAAAAATATATATATATTTTAATTGAGGGGGAGTGGATAAGTTCAAACTAAAAGAGAAGGGAAAAAGATCTAATGTTGTAGAAAATATAAATTTTATATATAAATATATATTTTTAAAAATATATATATATTTTAATTGAGGGGGAGTGGATAAGTTCAAACTAAAAGAGAAGGGAAAAAGATCTAATGTTGTAGAAAATATAAATTTTATATATAAATATATATTTTTAAAAATATATATATATTTTAATTGAGGGGGAGTGGATAAGTTCAAACTAAAAGAGAAGGGAAAAAGATCTAATGTTGTAGAAAATATAAATTTTATATATAAATATATATTTTTAAAAATATATATATATTTTAATTGAGGGGGAGTGGATAAGTTCAAACTAAAAGAGAAGGGAAAAAGATCTAATGTTGTAGAAAATATAAATTTTATATATAAATATATATTTTTAAAAATATATATATATTTTAATTGAGGGGGAGTGGATAAGTTCAAACTAAAAGAGAAGGGAAAAAGATCTAATGTTGTAGAAAATATAAATTTTATATATAAATATATATTTTTAAAAATATATATATATTTTAATTGAGGGGGAGTGGATAAGTTCAAACTAAAAGAGAAGGGAAAAAGATCTAATGTTGTAGAAAATATAAATTTTATATATAAATATATATTTTTAAAAATATATATATATTTTAATTGAGGGGGAGTGGATAAGTTCAAACTAAAAGAGAAGGGAAAAAGATCTAATGTTGTAGAAAATATAAATTTTATATATAAATATATATTTTTAAAAATATATATATATTTTAATTGAGGGGGAGTGGATAAGTTCAAACTAAAAGAGAAGGGAAAAAGATCTAATGTTGTAGAAAATATAAATTTTATATATAAATATATATTTTTAAAAATATATATATATTTTAATTGAGGGGGAGTGGATAAGTTCAAACTAAAAGAGAAGGGAAAAAGATCTAATGTTGTAGAAAATATAAATTTTATATATAAATATATATTTTTAAAAATATATATATATTTTAATTGAGGGGGAGTGGATAAGTTCAAACTAAAAGAGAAGGGAAAAAGATCTAATGTTGTAGAAAATATAAATTTTATATATAAATATATATTTTTAAAAATATATATATATTTTAATTGAGGGGGAGTGGATAAGTTCAAACTAAAAGAGAAGGGAAAAAGATCTAATGTTGTAGAAAATATAAATTTTATATATAAATATATATTTTTAAAAATATATATATATTTTAATTGAGGGGGAGTGGATAAGTTCAAACTAAAAGAGAAGGGAAAAAGATCTAATGTTGTAGAAAATATAAATTTTATATATAAATATATATTTTTAAAAATATATATATATTTTAATTGAGGGGGAGTGGATAAGTTCAAACTAAAAGAGAAGGGAAAAAGATCTAATGTTGTAGAAAATATAAATTTTATATATAAATATATATTTTTAAAAATATATATATATTTTAATTGAGGGGGAGTGGATAAGTTCAAACTAAAAGAGAAGGGAAAAAGATCTAATGTTGTAGAAAATATAAATTTTATATATAAATATATATTTTTAAAAATATATATATATTTTAATTGAGGGGGAGTGGATAAGTTCAAACTAAAAGAGAAGGGAAAAAGATCTAATGTTGTAGAAAATATAAATTTTATATATAAATATATATTTTTAAAAATATATATATATCAAACTAAAATAAGGAAGTGACACTGGCTTTATCTACATAAGAAAGGAAAAAGACTCTACCTAGTAGCGGATAAAAAATGGAGGCCAAAAAACAAAGATTATATATTAGGAGAAATTGTAATTCAGTGTGTGTTTGTCTTTAAAATTAATTTAAATTAGCGATAAATTTTATCAATTTTAATAATTAAAGTTATCAATTTTTTTTATAAATTTGTAAATATTTTGTGAAGGCACCGCTAATTTATAATTTTTTTTCTTTATATATTATCGAATGGATTTTATTATTATTATTTTACTATTTATGTGTATCCAAACAACAAATTTGATGTGCAGGCTCATAATATATTTTAAAAACCCTCATGTAGTTGTAATAGCATAAGCCATACAGAAATGGCCATGCAAAATCAACTCTTGATTTATTGGTTCTTGTTTTATCTCACTACAAGAAATTAGTCTTTTAGCAACTAATATTTAAGGACTAATTAAATTTAGTCCCTAAAAATAATCTTTTAGAGACAAAACTAAACTTGTGATAATTTATTCATAAAACTATTAAAATGACTCTTGATATTTCCTGTTAGGCTGTGTAACTTTTTGAGACCAATAATTTTGGTGGTCAACACATATTATTGGCATTTTTTAGGGACCAAATAATGAAAAATTACAAAACCTCACCTGATGCAAATACACACTGAAAACCGTACCCAGGCTTCACGATGTGTAAAACCTTCTCTCTCTATTTGTCAAGCTCCATCGCAAGCTTCATTGTAGGTCTTCGCTCTGTCCATCTCGAGCTCCATTGCAGATCAGTTTGAGATCTACAATCTTCAGTAGATTTACCTTGTTCTTCACATTTTCTGTAGATTTGGTGCGTCTCTCTCTCTCTCTCTCTCTCTCTCTATATATATATATATATCTCTGCCTATACATATACATATGTACATATATATATGGTAGATCTATGAAGAACACAATAAGTAGTTCACATTTTTGTTCGATTGGCCTGCAGATTGTCATGGATGCAGTTTTGCTATAGGTTGATGCTTCACCTTCTTCTTCATTTTTTGCAGATTTCTGCTACTTTGAAGACATCGATTGGTTAATTCACTCTCTATCAAGGTATTTCTCGATCCTTCAAGTAGTATTGAGTTTTTAATACAGAGTGTAGCCAAAAATTAGTTTTAATGTCGAATTAATAAAATTCCATGTAACTCATTCTGTTTGATTTTTGTTTATTTCATCATTTTGATGTGAATTTTAATTTTAGGTATTTCTCAATCCTCTTGATGTGAAATTTTAATTTAACTCAGGTTTGTTAAAAGAACTAGGCCATATATGTTCCCGGTTCTGTGTTGGCTGGAACATCTTCGGGGAGAGGTGAAGATCCTTGACAAGGATCTGATTTCCCCAAATAAATAAATAAATAAAAGTAATGCCAAACTCTAATATAACATGAAATAAAAAGAGAAGATTGTTTGGTGATAAACATCTCAATACTCATGAAACAATTCTAAAAAGTGTGGACACTTCTAATACACTTGTCAAACATTTGTTGGCACGTGTTTGGCACACATCCAAACATGTCATTGTTTTTAAAAGTTAATTAAAAACCAGACACCCTTTGGACACTTAGGAAAATTACAATAACACATTGTACACGACAAAATAAAATCAATTAAATATGTAGTTTATCCCTCAACCTTTCAATTATTATTTTTTAAATTGTAGGAATTTTAAAGCCAAAAGTTCGAATTTGTTTATAAATAGAGTTTTCTAAAATAGATATTTGGACTTTTGTTCACGCTTCTTTTCCAATATGTAGAATGTGAAAAAGAATTTCACTTCTATGCTCCTCTGTTGCTAATTATAATGCAAACATTATCGATGTATTCAATTATAATATACCTTGGTATAAAAATATACAATTCATGTGATATATGTAAATATATTTCTAAAATGAAGAAATAGTCATTAATACATATTTAATTGTTGAGTTTTGCTACATCACCCCTAATTACACTTCTAATGAGGTGGCAAACAATTTTGAAAGGGGAGAGAAGAGTTTGAAGAAAGTTAATTGGTTGGTATTGTTTGCCACCTCATTAGAGGTGCAATTGGGGGTGATAAAATGGGAGATGGGGCATTTCTCTTTATTGGTTATCATTTTCCTACAGTGTCATTTCTAGAATTTTTTTAAAACTTGTTGTCTCAGTGTGTTTCGTAACGTGTCACATCTGTGTCCATGCTTCTTAGTGAACCATACCATATAAATTTTGAGCTAGAAAGTGTATTGCTATAAGATCAGGGGGAAAAAATGATGTCTCCCACATCAATTGTCTGGTCCATCCAAGTGGACCTTGTTAGTCTCTAATACTCTATCACCCATCCAAAAATCACTTCCTGTTAGTGCATGGTGTGTCGGTTTGGAGTTCATTCGCTCTCGGTGTGGTTGTGTGTGCATGTAATTCTACAAAACCCACACACACACACACACAAAAGTAGAAAACTTTTATAAAAAAATCTTAAATCCTACATAACTTGCTCCTTAAACTTCATTAGCTAAAGGCGTTAAGGTTTATGGGCTGGTTGTGTGTGAGGGTGTGTTGGTATGGGTGTGCATTTGAGAGAGAGAGAAAGAGAGAGACTAACCTCGCGTTTGTTGTACTCCTTCAGAACAGGTTGGAGCAATTCATCAGCCTTCTGTGTACTCCACCCACATGGTGTGTCGGTTTGGAGTTCATTCGCTCTCGGTGTGGTTGTGTGTGCATGTAATTCTACAAAACCCACACACACACACACACAAAAGCAAGTTTTTTGTAATCTCAATCGGCAAGAGCTATTAATCAATTTTGAAAGCAATTTTTTCCTCTTAAGAGTCAGATGAATTAGTCACAGCTGAGTATGTGAATTCAGTTGTTGTAAGGTGAAGGAAAGTCATAGACAGTTTTCTGCAGCTGTTTTTTTAGTGTTACAACCTCCAAATTCAGCAAGTTTTTTGACAGGTAAAACTTCATACACAACTGTGAATTTTGGACAAAGCCAAACAAAATTCCATCATGTTTAATTGATCAAGTCACTGCATGTTGACTGAAAGGATCAAATAAAACAGAAATCAGTATTAGTGTGGGGAAATGGATATGCATTTTGACGGAAAGGATCGAGTAAAATATAAATTAATATAAATTAGTATTAAAATATAAACTCTAATATAACATGAAATATCATTGAAGCTTAAAAATTACTCAAGTTACTTTATTGAGATGTTTATCACCAAACAATCTTCTCTTTTTAGAATTGTTTCATGAGTATTGAGATGTTTATCACCAAACAATCTTCTCTTTTTTTATAATTTTTTTAGTTACTTTATTTATTTTTTGGAAGGGTGGTTATGTTTTTTTTTTTTTTTTTTGGGTATTGTTTATGCAGAAAAAAATCAACCAACCAAAAATATTTAACAAAACACAGATTTTTATTAGTCAAAAATATAATACCATGGTATATATGAAAGTATTAAATAATGTTTAGAGAGGAAGAAACTTTTGTAGTTATGAGGTTTTTAAACCTAATTAATCAAAACACCCAGAATTCGTCTTAATCTCCTCCTGTTGCTTCTTATCCCTTAAAACTCCAGGCAATTCAATCAAAACACGCTTAGATTCAACATCTTCAATCCCAACTAGCCGAAATGGTATTGTCCAAGATCATAAGCACGTTTTGCCCAGCACACCCAACTCACAGCTCCCAAAAGCGCTCTTGATCTTCTCCTTCAGCTTTATGTTATGTTTTTCTTTTTCTACTTGTTTCTAGTGTATGTATGCATGTTTGCAATTTATGTTTTGTTTTTCGTTCTTTACTTGTTGGATTTTACTGTCATAATCACCAGCCTCCTATAGAAAGCCATTTGGTATGCTATAGCCATTACACTTGAACTTAGCATTGCCAAACCTTTCTTCTCTTTATAGGGTTTGACCTTATTTGATTTATGACCTTATTTAACTTAACATTGCGATTATTTATTTATTTACTTTTTTAAAGTGAGGATATGATTGTTATCAATGTTATTATGTGTCCTGATGTTTTGCTTTTGCTTTTGTTTTTGCTTTTGTTTTATGTGGTGTGCCTTGGCAATACATCCCTGAATTTTTGTTTGTCAAAACATAGATATGAATCACATAGTCAAAAGTAGATATACATATTAGTGAAACGTCTTCAAGAATTTAGTTGTGTTCCTCATTTAAGACCACATATAGAAAGTAACAAGATATTGGAATTGAAGGATAATGTCTTTGTGTACTCTGTAATAGGGATTTCGGGATGGATAAGAGTTGGATGCAACTTCATAATAGAAGGTTACATCAATACATTGATGGGGTAAAAGAATTTATCATATTTGCTCGTGATCATATGAAATCAGGGACGAGTAAGATTTGGTGTCCGTGTAATAGATGCAACAACCGTATCCAAAAAACCATAGATGAAGTTGAAATTCATTTGTTTGCATATGGGGTTGTCACAACTTACACTAGGTGGGTGTATCATGGGGAAGATTTTGAGTTGAATGATAGTGATCCCTCGGAAAATGAAAATGACGAATATTTCAATGATGTGACAGAGAAATCAAATTCTCCCAATACTGAGGTGCGAGAAATTGTCCATGACATACATAGTGGGCCATCCACATATGCTTATACTGGGGAAGCATCTAGTAGTCGTAATCCTGACTTGTCTGGTGCTCATGGTAGTAAAGGAAATACATTTGCAAGATTAATGAGGGATGCAGAACAAGAATTGTATCCGAATTGCCAGCGATATTCCAAATTATCATTCATTGTTAAGCTGCTACATATAAAGGTGCTCAATAAATGGAGCAACAAATCACTCACGATGATGCTAGAACTGTTGAAGGATGCACTTCCCATCGGTGAAACACTTCCATGCTCATACAATGAAGTTAAACAAATACTTCGAGATTTGGGCCTTGATTATCAAAAAATACATGTATGCAAGAACGATTGTGTACTTTTTTGGAAGGAGTATGAAAATGAAGATAAATGCCCTACTTGCAAGGAGCCTAGATACAAATTTCATAAAGGTGAAGGTAAAGGTAAAAAGATCCCTCACAAGGTTTTGCGGTACTTTCCTTTAAAACCAAGGCTACAAAGGTTATTTATATCAAGGAAGACAGCTACTGATATGAGGTGGCACAAAGATAAACGCGTAGAGGAGAAAAATGTAATGCGCCATCCAGCGGACTCTGAAGCATGGAAAGACTTTGACAAAAAGCATGAGTCATTCGCCAAAGATCCTCGAAATGTTAGGCTCGGATTAGCAAGTGACGGCTTCAATCCATTTGGGAATATGAGTACCTCATATAGCATATGGCCAGTTTTTATTGTCCCGTACAATTTGCCACCCTAGAAATGCATGAAAGATCTATTTTTTATGATGCCTTTGCTTATTCCTGGGCGTACAGCTCCTGGATTTGACATTGATGTGTTTTTACGACC